TTACCATCAACTTCTGTTCTGGTGACAACTAGATGGAGCTAAGGAGCATATCAAAAATGATTTATAAGTATTTATTTCCTATGCTACTCAGCTCCATCTAGTGGTCATAATGTATTACATTACATTCGACCTGAACAGAAAATATACAAAGAATGTTGATTTTTGCCTTTATTCACACAGAATGAACATTCAAAGATTTGCAGATCATGAATGGCTCTGCAAATAAACCCCAGAGGGCTGATATAGAGTCATACATGTTGGCCAAAGAGACTTGTAACAAAGGGGTTGATTTACTAAAGACACATAGGCTGTTCACTTTGCAGGGGAAGTTTCCCCTTAGCTTAGTACATACAGTGAAATTTGACTTTGCTAAGAATACCGTCATGTGCAAGGAAATTGAAAAAAATCTGTATTTTTGCTTGCACGTGGTTGGTTAATGGAAGTAAGCAGAGCTTCCCCTTAAACTAAACTTAGGGGAAACTTCCTCTGCACAGTGCAAAGCCCCTTGCAAAGTGACCAGCTTAGTTGCCTTTAGTATATCAACCTCAAAGTTTCGAATACGGACACGGATCACAATAATTTTTCCTTGTATCAGTGCTTAAGAGCATCTATGGTTAAAAAATTTACATTCATATATTGATTTCCACACTGAATTTCCATTAGTTCTAGACTTCTCCTATTAATCAGAACCTTGAAGGTTATATATTTACTTTATGAAGAATCCCATAGGATTTACTTCCTATGATGCAGTGGCACATATTCATTATGCCCTGTGCATATGCACTACTGTGTCACCCATTTCACAGAGCCTGCTGGTTGAACTACAGAGGTGCTGAAGAGGAGCAGTTTCAGGGGACAAACCATCACTCCTTGCAGGCAGCAAGATACGGTAGGATATGTACTCCTTAGAAAGTAAACCATGTGCAGGGAATACAGGAAGCTGTTGAAAGAGATGTCCAACAGACAGGCAGCATTACAAAACCTAATGAGATTTTTGAAGTAAATTTATATCGGATCATCAAACCTAACTATCATTTGTATTGCTATTATAATGCTGATGTTCTAGAAGTAAAACAAATGCTGTAACTTTAGATCTCCTTTAACAAACTTGGACTTGCAAAGAGAGATATTGCACATTGTATTGTATTGTGCTGTACTGTGTTTTGTATGGAAAAGCATGATTAAGGGTTCACAGATCTCTCCTAGCACTGGACAGCTTGTAACCATGTGGCCACCTGACAACTTCTGTTTGCTGAAGAAAGAGGAGCATGCCATGTGTTAACGAGCATGAATGTAAAAACAATTAGGAAAAAAGATCTACTAAAGGAGAACTATGAGGTGAGTGATTTCCACTCATCCTCATAGTTAGAGCTGACCTGTGACAAAGAAGCTGTCCCAGATCGGCTCTATAGATCGGGAAGTGAGCAGAAACATGCACCGATCCGCTCACTTCCCGTTCATCTCTCTGCAGAGGCAGGTGACTGTCAGTCACAGCTCCCCGCAGGGACTCCCCCCTCCCCTCTCCGATTCTCCAGCACTGAGTGGAGGAACAAACAGGGGAGGGGGCGGGCACAGCTGGCTCTGCCCTTTAGATAGGCAGAGCCCGCTGTCACTCACACAGCTGGGTAGATCTCAACAGTATTGTCGGGATCCGTCCCAGCTGGGTCACTGGAGTATATGTCCTCCCGTGACCCTAAAGAGAACTACGGGGAAAACACTTACCCCATAGTTCTCTTTTAAGTCACGTACCAACCCCTCACATGATATCAAACTACGCAGAGAATGGTTCTCTACAGTAACACTGACCATTTTTTATTTTTGTATAATTTTTTAGGGAGGAGAAAGGATGTAATTTAATTGTGATCATGTCTGACTACTGTACCTATCTTATTCTTTCAATAAAAAGTATATTTAGAAACAATTTAAATTTAAACTCTCAAAAACCCTTATATTAAAAGCGCCTTTAGTTGAGTGAAAAGTGCCTGATAACCATAATCATAAGAAATTGCAGTAATGATGCTACCATATTGATTGCAGTTAGGAGAGCAGAAGGTGCTGTCAGTTACAGCCAGCTTATCTCCAAAATCTTCTACATCCTACGCTGATGCAGAACACATCCTGTCTGCTTGATCATACAATATTTGCAAGCCTGTGTTACACTAACTGGTATCAGTTAAAGGAAAACTGGCAGGCTCAGTTAATGATTTTGCAGAAAGTTGCTATTTGCATATACAGTAAATACAAGTGCGAATATCTCAGCTGGGACACGATGAGACAAGCTATGCACTGTTGTAAGGACATTTACATGCAAATTATACCTATAGAGGTACTTGAAAACAAACTTTATTGTATCTTCATAGAATTCCTTCATTATAGAAGGAATTTTTGCAACTTATGTTGCCATAGCTACTCAAACAGGCACCTCTAGACTGGGCAAAATAGATACGGGTACACAGAGATTTAGACGTGATTTCCCACAAATCTAGTATCTCATTCCTTCATGAATCTGTATATATATATATATATATATATATACACACAGTATATATATCAAACCCCTTGTGTCTACCAGCGGTAACAGCACAATTGTCAAGACACTTTTTACATTTGCAGAATCCAGACCAATGCTCAAATACTCAAATTTGATAAAGTGGGCGTTTTATCTGCACATTCCAAACATCTACCATTGTATCAATACAACACCAAAAAAAAAAGAAAATGAAGAAGCTTTTAAAGCTCCCTTCCCTGTCCCCTCTGGTGTATCAGCTTATGAAATATTGGCCACTTTATGCACTTAATGCGCGACAGCATCTCTCAGTCTCAGCCATTTAACCATTTACACAACAACACACTGCTTCTACCGGTAGCAGATAGCGTCTGGGACGGCAAATGAATACAGTGCAATGCAGGCAGCTTTCTTCTATGCATTATCCAATCACAGATTTATCACCACAAAGCCTTGTAAATTACCCATCAAAAATACGGTGCATCATTACAATTAGGAAGATTGCTATTTTGCTCTATTCCATGGCTGAGTATAACTAGTCATTTCTGCCTTTAATAGCCCTACGGTCCTATTATGCTGGGGCTCCCGTTACTCAGCCTAGACATTAACAGCTCTGTACGTGCTAATCGCAGCTGATGTTGTAATGTATTAGGTTACATACACTGTTTGCTGTATGTCATGCTGCCTTTATTGCTATGTCTGTACAACTGGCCTTTATTTTAAAGATATGGATTATCTAAGAGAATGTTCAGTGAAGACCTCCTCTGCCTATATCTGGCCTGTTGTTTTTAGACCACTCACTTACGAACTGGCTAAGGTGGATGATGTAATTGTTCAGGAAACACCTCGATGCCTGTATGTAGCTTTCAAACAGTTGTTTAAAGAATAACTTCACTTTTCAGACCATGTTTCATGTTACACTCATATTCAGGGTGTAAAATGAAATATGGTCACATCCCCAAGTCCCCCATCCCCCCC